TGTAGATGTTTTCAGCTTATACCCTCCACAAAAAAATATATACCTTTTGACTCAAAAATTTTTAAACATAACTATTATACGATTAAAACTTCGTAAAAAGGAACGAAAGCTTAATCGAGTTTAACTGCATGAATTCAACAATAGTTTGGACAGCTAAGGTCCTTCCAGAAAAAGATACTTAGTAGCTTACCCTGCAATATCGAAGTCTTTACAGCAGTTTATAGGTACTTAGCTTTAAACTATACAAAGGTCGCTCAAGAAACCGGAAAAAATTCCGGTCCCGAAATAGAATAGAAAAATTATGAAAATAATATAGTGAGAATACTAGATATGTTTTTGCCGTAATCAATTTAAGGCCTTAATATTGCAGATCGGGAGAGTTCTCAGAGTTTCAGATGTGCGAAGACTTTCGGTGATAACCTTCTCAGGAAGTTATTTCTATCCCTCTCCTTCTCTCACTGCTTTTAACAGTAATTTTTTGAATAGCTCCCAAACTAATATTATTTTGATGACAAGGATATGCTCTATATTCTCAACCGAGGTAGAGCTGCTGATCCTTTGTCCTGTAGAACGCATTGCTATTCTTCAAGCTTAAATTGAGCTCTTACCCAAGCTCTTCGAAAAAGTCACAAGATTTTCTTATTAAGTGGCTGGAAAAATTTGTCCCAGAAATCTCTTTTTCTCAAAGGGTATAACCAACAATTTTTTACTTACTTTCAGCAGAAGAAAGAATAAAAAAAAAATTATGCTCTAAGCTTTTCGTGCTCAACTAAGTAAAAGCCACAACACGCAAAGCAAATTGGTCTGGCAATAATAGTGTTGCCAAGGAAATCTAGACAAATGCTAGCATTTTGCATACCATAAAACATAATGGCTGACAACTTGGTTGGGTGGCTGGTCTAAAACTGCCGCCTGACCACCCATTTGCCATCGCGTCGGGTTATAACTCTTTAGCGCCACTTTACTATCGAGACACGCCAGCCAACTTACTTGGGTTTGGCATTACAACTCCGCCGCCGCGGATGTGTAATTGAAGGGATGAGTAATGTGTAGCGCCAACAGCGTCACTCCCAAAATAAATACTTCAACGACTAAAAGACGAAACTAACCTTACAATTGAAGCAGCGGAAACGCGACAGTAAACAAAACGCGTTCGACGTGAAGATACGCGAAATTCATGCGGAGCGGCTTAAAAACTACCAGAAATAAATTTAAAAAAATAGAAAAACAAAATGAAAGTGAAATTTTGGTAGGAAGCGAGGAAGTAAGTGATGAAGTGCATGCAAATTTAAAATGTAGTTGGAAAATATTCAATGAAAATTGAAAAATTTTAAAGGAAATTGGGAAGAAAAATTTAAAATTTTAAATGCAAAATGAATAATAAAAATTTCATATGAAAAATCAAAATAAATATTTTTCGTGTGAAAAATCGCAGTTAAAAATTTTATGACCTGAGCAAATGTCTACGGTGTGCAAAAGCGAAAAATTGAAAAAATTTATATGCGTGAGTTTAAATTACTAAAAAAAAAATATTAAAAAATTGTAGAAAAAAGCACTAAAAATTTAATTGAAGTGTAAAGTTTATAACTGAGTAACTGAGTGACATAAAGGTGAGACGCATTAGGGTACTTAACAGTAGCGTTTTACTTGAGTAAAAAATTTGCCGAGTTTTAAATTGGGAACTCCTTATGCTACCTCCACAGTAAATAGAAAAAATTAAAAAAATAATTAATTGAAAAAATATAAAAATTTTTAAATGTGAACTTTACAGAAAGTGAACTCCACACACTTGACCTAAGACAATAGCTTTTCTGCATTCAATTGCATGTCTGCGACAGAGACATCTATGGAAATTAATCATGCCAACTAGTTCTCAAAATGACTTGCATTATTCAAAAATATACTACAAAGTGCATGCAACTTCAACACGCGATAAATTTTTAGTTTCCAGTTTTTGCTACTATTTCTACTTCCTAAAAAATTTCTCTACAATTTCCACTTGCTCTGATTCTAATTTCTACACCACTAGCTCGCATGTCATTACGTAGCTCAGACTGTCTGTTGTGGTATATTGTATATATATATGTGTGTATGTATGTATATATGATGTGAATATACTTATCGCTCTATGTCTCTTTCGGTTTTCCGCCCCCATTTTACCGCACCTTTCCTTTCGCGATCGATGTTTGCCCTCATTTGCTCTTCGCCACTTATGAATGGGTCTATACTACATACATACACCTATACATATACGAGTATATGTAGTTATATTTATTTAACTATTTGTCTGTGAGGGTGTGAATTTTTGTATTAGCCCAGTTTGTATTCCATAATTCTGATTTTCATAAACACATTCGTGCATACAAACACACAACTATGATTTTATCAACTATTGATAATATGTCATGACATTGTTCTCTTGCCTTTGCACATTAGATATGTACTCGTATGTACGTATGTAGTAAGAAAATATTTAATTTTGAATTTATTTTCCACACGCTTTCATATGGAAAATGAGCATACTGCACACATTTTGACAGACATAAATTTGGCTAAAATTGGCAAAAAAAAAAATGCTATGAGTTCCTCATCTGTTTATTGGGTGGCGAGTTTTCAAAAAAAAAGTTATTTTATTTCAAACATTTGAGTTTATATTGTAAATTAGCAAAGCCATGTTCCAACTAGCAGTCAAACTTGAAAATGCACCCCAAAAGTAATGAAAGCGGACTCTGTGGACGTATGCATGGCAAGGGTACAAGGAACCAAGGTCGAGGCTGAAGTGCCTTTCTTGGGTCAATCGGATGATTTTCTCTAATTAGTTTTCACCTATTTAGTTATTTCAGCGGCCGCGGTAGACAAGTGGTTAGCATTGCGTGCTGACACTCGGAAGGCTCGGGCTCAAATTCCGGTGTCATCACCCAAAAGTTATGGAAACTTAATTTAAATAAGAAATTGATTTAAATTTTCTAATTGTTTTTTCCAAATATAATATTATAAAGGGCTCCTCCTAAAAAACCCATCAGTCGTTCGGAGGTGACTTAGAATAAACTGTAGGTCCCTACATTTGTTGAAAAAACATCAAGACGCAAAACCACAAATTTGAAGGAGGAGCTCGGCCGAAATATCTCTTCAGCGGTTACAAAGCGTCAAATCTTTAAGTACTCTGCACGAGGTCGATCCTTTTATAGAAGGTTTCTTCTATAAAATCTTATATATCTCGTAGGGAACTTTAACCACTGGAACTGATCATGCTTCAGACGCAAGTATTAGTTGCAACTTTTCCCCTCCCTCCTCCTCCTCCTGTACTTCATTAGCGTTCAGTTGGGTTAAAGAGGTAGGGATCTATCTTGTCAGTATTAAGTCAAGTATACCTTCTATCGATGCAATGGGAATTAGAAGCAAACCGGTAAATGCGTTACCGAAGAAGAGTGTGATCAAGTGTGGAGAAGTTACACATATTTTTTGGCGCAACACCTTTCCAAGCATAGTGAGATTTTTCAAATTCATAAAATTCAATTCATAAAAAACTACAGGTGCTAAATTAATGAAGTTGAAAAAGATTTGTCTTAGACAAGAATTTCTAATCGATAATGAAATATAAAAAATTATTATTAATTATTAATTTTATTATACCCCAAAAAGTAAGCACTAATTTTTTAAACAACTACAGTCGCTGCTAAATTAATGGAACAAAAAATTTCAATCTCTTTCTAAAGGGGTTACATAGGTTTTGAAAGTCAAAAAAAAGCTTGTTTTCTCTGATTTTTCTGTGAAGGTACTAATTAAAGTATACAATTGTTTTTCTTTACATATAAAAGTGCATTATGTGGACAACATTTTATGAAAATTTGAATCAAATGTAGTATAAGTTAAGGCGTTGGCAGTGACGTGAAGTAGACCGTCCACAAGAAAGTGCTTTCGCGGTAGTCATGACAACTTTTTCAGTATTTATCTGAAATCAAAAAATTAAATTTTTTCTGAAAGTAGGTGAATTTTTCTTGTCCCTGAACCAGAAAATTTAAAAAACTAAAAATTGAATTTTTTTGTTACATTTTTTCCAAAAAAAAAACGTAATTTTTTGGATAAAATCAGGCCACATATTGGCTTGTAAAATGAGTAGAAATTAAAGATGAAATAAATCCTACCTTCAGGGAGTACAAAAACATGCTTGAAAGGAGTGACATGAAAGTTGAACTCGATCGTTCAATAGTCATTGAGAAATTTTGACTACCGATTTCGATAAAGTGGTTTTAAGAAAAACGTCGTCTTGCCTGTCGCCATCGGTCAAGCCATGACAAGGACGGCGGGTTATAAAACTCTCCAATTTCTACAGTTTCGTCTCGTTCTATTTGAAATTTGGGTTAAATATTCCTGAAACTTTGCACTTTTAACAAAAAATTATCAAAAAAATAAAGTTTTTGAAATTTCAAGACCTATGTAACCCCTTAACTCAAACTAATTAATATCGATGACAAGAAACGGTTGAGAATACCTCTGGTCACCAGTTCCTTTCTCCTGGACAAATGGACCTAACTTTAGTAGGTCCAATATTAAGACTTGGCTATTATAAAATCTTTTAGCACACACTTATCACTTTTCGTAGAGGACATAATTGTTCAATGTTCTATTGATGTATTGTACATTCAACTTTTTAGGTTGAAGGTTCCAATAGCTGCGAGACTATATCGTCTGCAGCTGGTGTTTCAAATTTTTAAGAAACGAAGTGAACCATCTGGTTATTCTGCCGACTTTGCGGACTTATTACGTACGCTTAGTGCTTCCTCGAGTTTTAGTTTATCCCTTAAACGTCATAAAGATCGGCTAAGTGGGTCTTCGTTAAGTTGTGAGATAAGCTAAGCCAATCCATTCCATTAAGCTATTGGTTTTGATATGAAATGTATTTTCTTCTTTACTAGTTTAGCGAAATTTTATTTCATTTTTAAAACAAAGTAAAAATATATATAAATATATTAAATTATTATATTCCCTCTTCTTTCCAGGCAAATCCTCAACCCAACACCCACAACACGAATAACAATGAAATTAGCGGTCAAAGCGGCAATATCAGTGGTAATAGTACAACTAGGCCGCCGGAGGGTGATGAGTATGATGTTGCAATAGAAACAGAAACAACAATAGCAACAACAAATCCAACAGAAACCACACAGCTACCACGTAATAGCAGTAAAAACAACAACAACAACAACAACGTCGATAATCGAAAATCAGCAGAACACTTGGCTGAGGTGCTCGTTATGCCGGTGAATGACACAAAAACAGCTGCAACAATTACAACAACAGCAGAAACAACAAAAGCAGAAAAAGAAACAGCAGAAACAAAAATGCTTGCAATGAAAAGCAACACCAACACAGCTAACGACAAAAACAGCTGGCATGTCAGTGGTAATGTGGCAAATAAGGCCAGCTCATCCGCGGCGGAAGCTCGGCCAAGTGGTGCCATTGCACCAATTGCGCAAGAAGAAGAAGACGCCGAAGAGGTTTGGTATTCGGAGGAGGACGCGGAGGAGTTAGTGCTGGAATGTAGAGGCCGCGAATTGCCGGAAAAGCAACTGCAAAGCGGCTGTTGTTTAATCAATGCTAATGAACAGGGTAGTCAAGCCGATATGAAGGTAAATGAAAATGCAATAATAACAACAAACGTCAACCCGCTGCATACAACCACGCAAGAGAAACCGGTGCAGCGTAGCAAATCGCGCATGCGTACATATTTGAAAAAGTGCAGAGATCGTCTGACAGGTCAGCATCAACCGGCGGTTACACAAACACAAGCACAAGCACAAACAACAACAACCAACACCACAATGCATTTGCAAGATGAAAAGACGCAAGAATCGATTGCGCTTGAGTTACATTACGCAGCACCAAGCAACGAAAACTCCCAACACTGCTTCCCCGTTGTCGAGGAGGCGGCGGAGGACGAGGCGATGGAGCAGTCAAAACTCACCACCTTAAATGCCAGAGCTGAGCGACGCGATGACATGGCAGCGCATAAGCTATTAACCCTGAACGCGAAGGAGGCGGATGGAGTGAGGGAGAGGTTGGTGCTGGAAGCGCAAGAAGAAGGGGAAGACGAAGAGGAGGCGCGCTCAACTAGTGAACAAACAGAATTGGCTTACGAGGATATCGATTTTAGCCTGCCATCATCAACGTTGATGGACAACAGCAGCGGCTCGAATGTCAGTGTTGACCAACGCCAACAAACGACACCGTTGACCTCTGTTGCGCACAAACGAGACGCCCTAACGTTCAGTGCTCGGGTGGAGGTTGAAGTTGATGACTCTGGTGATTTGGCTGTCGAACAAGAGCAACACGTCAAGTTAAAGTGCTCAGTTGTCAGTGGTGAGACTTTACAACAACAACAACAACATCAGCAGCAGCAACAACAGTCACTCCAAGTGGAAAAACATGAGCACTTGAATTTTAACAACAACTGTCCGCCACTTGTCAAGGAGGAACAATTGGCTTGCGCCGTATGGATGGTAAGCCCCACCAGCAATTTATGCCAAACGCCCTTTGCACTTACACACACAAACATGTACAGACAAACTATTTGTTGTTAACACTTTTCTATAATAGAAAAATTTACAATAAATCTCCTACTCAATTGTTTGCTCATCACGCTAAGACTCCACATTCTTTTTTCATCACTAATGTGCTTAACGATATTCTTTCTCTTCCCGCCGTTCCATGCTCACCGTGCAATCACCAGGACTCCGGCACTGCTGCATTGATTGATAAACACCTCGCTGCCATTTATACTGTCTTTACGGCGTGCACTCGCTCGATTTTAATTCGCCAAGCACGTGATTTGCTCGTCTGTTCCTATTTGGGTTGCCTGCAGTCGTTCGAAATGAAATTCTTATGTAAATTTGCTGAAATTGCTGCTGAGCTGACACAACGACACGCCATCGGTGAGGTACGTAAAGGAATTTGATTACTCTTGTGTGTGTGTAAAACTATTTGTAAGTTCTTGACCTAAGTTCGGGTCGGTGTGTTAAATAATTGATATAACAGCCGTTGGGATGTGGTAATTTCCTAAAATAAACTGTAATTTTTGGTTAATAACTTTGAATTTTTCGTTCATGCGGAAAAGAAGCTAAATTTGAATATTTTTTCGGCTCTTCAGTATATATATTTGTAAATAAATACAGCCATCCTCTTACCTCAGGAGTGGAAAGGAGCTCTAAATAAAGAGAAAGTTTTTTTCACTTTAAGGGGGACTTTTTCTTAAAGACCAATGTATTTTGCTCTTTATTGAAGGATGCAGTCGAAAGTCGTCAACCCAGAAGTTCAGTCCGTAGCATTAGAGGCCCCTGAAGTCCTCTGAATAGCAAATGTCAATACCTGCGAATAAATTCCAGACATGGAAATGAAAGATCCTCTTAAACAGCTTGGAGGTAGCTCTTAGCTATGGTTCAATGCAGTATTTTATTTAATTTTTATCCTCAGAACTTTCGACGAAAGTAAAGCTGACCGTGTTTAGATATAAAGGCAGAGAGAGTCATTGATCTGGCATAAGGTATTCTCAGCACTCAGTTCAACAAGCTTTTGAAGCTCGATTTCAAATGATTCCCTAATAAAAAAGTCGCATGCTCTTTCCCAACTCGCATGCCTCTATGGTGGAATTAGTTCAATAACGGGAAATACCACATAGGTGGCTAGAGATTAAAGGAATTATGGGCTTAATATTTATCACAAACACTTTCTTTGTGGCAGAATGCCAAGTTTATGTCCACTATTGAGAGTCTGCTTATAAAATCTATTTGAAAGTGAAAGAGTTTTTATGAGTCTCTTTACGAAACCAGAGAAAGAAAGTTTTTTCATTTATTCAAAAGAGATAAAAATATAGACACTTTGGCAGCTATCCTCTTGACGCTTTTCCACTTATAGTCGCTCAACCCCAGTTACTCATTCTCTACATCCTTGGTACTAGATTTGAGTATCGAACGGACGTGAGAATACAGCTTTGAATCGATATCACTGGCTAAGAGACATGTGGGAATACCTCGGACCTCCAGGGATTTTCTCGTGAAAATATGGGTTTCAAGACGTATGAGATGACGAGATCCTTCCCCAGACTCGCCTTTCGAGTTATCAAGGGAAGTGAGATTAATGTTTGACCTGGAAAAGTACTCGACTAAAACTCTAGTTATCCCAATATAAGAGTAGATTATTATACAAGAAGAAGTAATGAAATTGCCCGTTTTTTTTCGAAAAAAATATTGATTAAGCTAAACATATATCGTCTGTAAGCAGAAAAACTCTTGCTAATTATATTCAACGCTTCCAAATATCGAATTCATCAACTTTTTACTTTAATATTTCTTTGTTTTTCTCTACCACTTCATTCATTAAATTCATTCAATTATTTCTTCATCAATTTATTTACCAATTTGCACGCTTCAATGTTAAATGATATGATTAACAATCATTAACGAGTAGACAACTACTGTAACTCGAGCTAATCACATGTACACCGCTACACATACATACGAACAAACATCTGTATAGAAAAAATACAACTTCTACTCGAGTTAACGCGCCATGCCCATAATTATTCGGCTACACTGCGGCACCATTCATTAATTCTGTCTGCTTAGTACACACAAACACAATCATACATGTATCAGATTTATATAAATTCAACTGTTAACCGCAATAAGCTGCAATACTGTTAAATAACTGGTCGAAAGTGCGATAACTGGAAAACCACTGACTTGACATGTGCTCGCTGGAAGTGAATTCGTCGAAAAAATTCAAACAAATGTTAAACAAAAGAGTGAGTACACAGAGCACTAACAGCATCACAACAGCGATGGCATGCATCAAGTTAGCAGCATATGTTAATTCCATTGCTGATTGGAATGTAAACAAGCAAAAGTGAATTAGAGTTATCGTCTGTAGCTTAACCTGATTTTATTTTTAATTTTTTTATTTATTGTGTTTTGTTTTATTTTTCTATTGTGTTATTTTAATTTTCTTACCCTATTTTATTCCATTTCATTATATTTTACATTATTTACTTAATATGTTTATTTTGTTCTAATTTACTTAATTCAATTTTTTATTTTATTTTATTTTATTTTATTTTATTGCACATTTTTTGTTTTATTTTATTTTATTTTATTTCATTATATTTTATATTATTTACTTAATATGTTTATTTTGTTCTAATTTGCTTAATTTAATTCTTTATTTTATTTTATTTAATTTTATATTTTCCTTTTTTCTTTAAATTTCTCCTCTTTTATTATCCTAAATTTTAACATTTAATTTATTCTATTTTATTTTATTTTTGTTTTGTATTTGTCTTATTTTTAAATTATTTTAATCTGTTTTTTTTTTTTTATTTTATTAATATTAATTTTATTTAAATTAATTACATCTTATTTTATTTTTATATTATTTTATTATATTTTTTTTTTATTGTGTTGCATTTTAATTCTGTTTATTTTTTATTTTCGTATTTTATTTTGTTTAACATTTATTCTACTTTATTTTACTTTACTTCTTTAATTTTATTTTTATTTTTTTATTTTTATTTTATTTACATTTCTTGTATTTTATTTCATTCCACCTCATTTCGTTCTGCTATTCTCTCTATTTACGTTTTCTATTGATATTTGCTTCACCTATTAACAGAGGGAAAATTTTCTCTGTTCAGCAACACTGTTCCATCGCTGCTCTTGCCACTGTCGCTAGCATACAGAGTAGAGTCGGGTATGTTAAATGCCCTGTGCACGTTTGTGGCACGAGATGCCGGCGTTTTGCTGCCGCTGACTATTTGCTGATTGTTGCCCATGATTTCGTTCGTCTCTTTGGCCCAGCCGGTCAACTCTCCGTTGATTGCTTGTTTGCTTGCTGGCTGGTCGGTGACTGCGTTAGCTGCTGCTACTTCTGCTGTTGCTACGAATTTACAGCCGATTGTTGCTTACTGCAGTTTTTGTCACTCAACGGTGCGGCAATCGAAGCCCAGCTAGCGACGGTCGTGGACGCGTTTATCGGAAGAATTTCGAAATAATTTTTCTCGTCTCGTCGAGTAGTGCGAGTGTGACTCAAATATTGTACTTGGTAAATACATACATATGTACATATAAATGTATGCTGGCTGCAACAGCAAAGCAAAACATGTAACAAATAATTATGTAGAAAGAAGTGTACCTTAAAGGTTATTTTTGATCTGAGATACAAATGTGAATTATAGTGCCTTCATTTACATACAAACATAATTGCGACTGTGCGGGTTTTATTGGTGAAACAGTGCAATAGTGCAAAAACAAATTGTATTACTATGAAAGTGAATTTCTCTCTCACGGAGTGACAAATTCATAGGAAGAAAAACTTAATTTTGATGAAAACTTTTTGCTCAAAGTGATACCGCATTATTTTGTAAAAAAAAAAGTTATGAAAATATTTTAATGTAAAATTTGTCTTGCGGAATAAAAAGGTAAATTACAAATAATACGTAGAGACCATATAAATTAGAATTGAGTTCAATATTGTACATTAAAATTACAAATTTTGTGTTAGAAACCGTTACAAAAACTACAAAAGATGAACTTAAGTGCCTATTAAAGCGATTATAATATCAAAATGAAAGCGAAAGTGTACAACAAAGTAAAAATCTAAAAACATCTAAATTGTGAGCTAAACTACGACGATATAACGGAAAATTTAATATTCCAAAGGAAAATAACATAATTTCACACTATTTTTTTGGAAAAAAAAAATTTATGAAACACTAATCAATCTTCTTCTCTTCTCTTCACGTAAAAAATAATGTGAAATTGCCTTGAATTAAAAAAGTGACGGTCGCACAAACTAACTCAAGAAAAATCAATAGAGAAGTTCATATCCACATAAAAAAACAAATCGACCTTTGAAGACAAATAAAATAAAAGTTTTATTAAAACTGTGGACAAAGTGCAGTAATAAATAATAATAATTGAATGTTATTTGTAAAAGGTAAACCAAATGTTTTTGTTTTAAACTTTTTTCAAAAAAACTAAATTAAAATAAATTGTATTAAAAAATTGAATAAAACTCAATTAAGTAATATTAAATAAAATTAATTTAAATAATTTAAAATATATGCAATACAAAATTTACATAAAAAATATTTAGTCAAATAATTTAAATAAAATAAAATAATTCTTAATTGAAAATTATTAATTAATTAATTAAAACAACATAAAAGAAAATTAAAATAAAAGCGAATGAAATATAAAATTAAAATGTAAAAAGAGAATAAAACAAATTAAAAATGACAAAAATAATTTATATTAAATTTAATTAAATTTAAATTCTTAAAAACCAACTAAATTAAATTAAATAAAAAAAATTAAAGCAAAAATATTTTAAAATTTATATAGATATAATAAAATAAAAAAAAATAATTAAATAGCTAAGCAAAATAAAATAAAGTTATTTTAACCATTAAATGGAAAAAAGAAATTAAAATTGAATTAATTAAACTAAACTAAAAAAAATTGATTAGTAAAATTCAAATTCAATAAAAAAATTAAATTATATTAAGTTGATATAAAAAAAAAAATTTAATCAATTTAAGTTAAAATAAATATAATAGAAGAAAGTAAAATATACTTAAACAAGATAAAATAAAATAATATAAAGTAAGGACAGAAATCAAAGAAATAAAAAATTGCAATAAAGCAAAATAAAATAAAACTAACTTTGATAAAATATAATAAAATTTAATATATTATAATATAAAAAAAATTTTCAAAATATTAGTGCTTATAATATAATTAAATACACAAAATTAAATAAAAATAAATCAAAATAATTGTTATAATCTAAAATAAGAAAATGGTATAAATTAAATTTAGACTTCAAATAAAAATTAAATACAATAAGGTATATACAGTGATATGGTATTAAATTTTTTTAATAAGA